AAGCTAGATAAATACTATCACTAGTACATCCTTTCAACTTCCCAAACACGGAATGATGGGGGACAGTGAGAGATACTGTCTTTGTGTTTCAAAAATTTGCTGTTTTCTGTGATTTTTTTCCCAGCCTTTTTGGATTGATGTATACTTCTGTTATCCACAGGCTTCTGTGGAATTGATTTAACTTTATTTTGTAATGTGTGGAAAAGTTCCTCCTTTTGTTAGCTTTAAATCAATAAACATGCTTTATTTCCATATGGATTTTTATTACATTAGACAATGAATATTTTATTCTGTAATCACTTTCTCTATTCCATTCACAATTTTACAGCTATGAGTCACATCATCTCTATTCTTTGTCTTGGCTGAAAAGTTCCCAGTCAACTGAAGTATTCCTTCAGGTGTTCTAAAATTGTGAGCGAAGCTGTGAAAGCCCCATGTGCATCTTCCCCCACGCACTTTTCTGGGGGGTTTGGCTGGGCACAAGGCCATCTTAGAAAGAGTGTAGATGAAGTAATTGAAGAAAAGCTGGCAGGAGATCCAAAAATAGCTGTCCCTCTTTCCCATGGTAAGGGAGCTGCTTGCAAACTCAGGCTTTAGCCCTTGGCCTATGCTGCAGTTTTGTGTCAGCCACACAATAGACTCTGGTCATGACCCAGGGAGTGATTTTCTGGCTTGATATCAGACCTGCCTCATCACTTGGAACCAAGTGGAGATCCTTGGGCCATGTCTGGCCTTTGTTACCATTTCTGAACTCCATTCTGACTCAGCCTCCTGAGTCACTCCCATCAGTACAGACTTGTTTGGCAATGTAGACTTTCGGCTGACCGTGGCAGTTCTTGCTGGGCCAGCCCTGCATGGGAACAGTGGGAGTGAGCCTTGCATGGTTAAGCCCCCTACGTCCATAGTCTTTGTTACAGGAGTGGTTCCTGATTCCTTATACCTTGCTCCTTACTAGCAATACCAAGCCTTGCCTCCTTCTCTGTTACCTTTTCTAGCTCTTCTATGTCTGTTTTGAGATGTGTGGACCAGAACATCAAACAAAAATCACAGACTTTACAGAGTCACAATGCTTATTTCTCTTTTTTTCTTCCATAATTATGCTACCACTGTGTTTGATTCTTTGTCTACTAATATTTTAAGAGAATACAAATATTTAGAGGATACCAAGATCTCTTTCCTGAAAAGAAGCCAACTAACATCAACCATTGTTTATACAAAATGCCTCCCATTTACGCTGCTACTGCTCTTTATCACTACTGTCATTCTGTATCATGATATTTTTGGTGTATCTGAAGATACACCAACTGATTATCATCATAAGCAAACTTCACTCAGTCAATAGCTCAATTTCAACACTCAGTTTCTGATTATGCTAAATATAGCTCAATTTCAACACTCAGTTTCTGATTATGCTAAATTATCCAAGTCTCAGTGAATATAAATGAAACCCCACTGGCAATCTCCCTCCTGTGTGAAACTAATGTTGGTCATACCCCACTTCCTAATTTTCAACAGGCTGACTTCTCAGAGATGGAAGTCCTACAAAAAGATGCAACTTTCAGCTACTTTACAAACTACAAAAGAATAAGCAACCACAAATCCATGCTAAGCACTAGATACTGTTTCTCATTTCAAATACTCATCTAACACCAGTTCTAGAATAAAACAAATCTTAATTTTATAGTTTTCTCTGTATTTCCTCCTTTGTTTCATAACTTTTTAATTATGATTACAGACTTATAACTTTCATCTATAAATGGTAAATTAAATTTTATTAGCATCCATTGAACAGTCTAAATCCTCATAAAATTAATATGGATATGAATATTTACTATGAGATGGATTTCATTACATGATTCAAAATTAGGCATTACTGCTTTTCCCACAGTTTCTTAGATCCTTGATAGGTTATTTTTTATGGTGGAAAATAATGGAAATACCTCTCAGAACTTCTTGAATATATACAAAAATCATACCTTTCTAACAAAATAACTTACCCTCTTTTACTGATTCTTCCTTTGATTGGCTTAATGTTAGCAATCTGTTACATTTTTCCAGCTGATGAATCAGTAGGTTATTCACTTCATTAATTTCTGATATTTTCTAGAAAATTGGAGAAAGAATAATATTATATTAATATGTTTTCAGTTCTAAGTGAATAAAAAACTTAACAATTCCACAATACTGTAACTGCAGTCCAAGCCTGTACTATTTCCCATTCAGGAAATTCTTTTATAGAGAAGAATGAAGAAGACTTGAGATTCTTTGTATTCCAAGTTTACCCCACAGAACTAAGAATGCTGACTTACATCATGACTTATAAACTATTTTCCTCTCAGTTTTGTAGCCCAGAGTCTGGATCAATCATCTTGGACTGAGTTTCTTTCTACATCTTTGCATATGAGACTGTCAGTGCTCTTGCAGAGCAACAACTTGAACAGTATATAGGGAAAGGAACTGGTATAGTAAGTTTATTCCAAGAGAAATGCTAAATTTATTTCAGGTACTTCTTTTATATTACCTCTAGTATGGATTTGCTGACCAGGAAATCAGCAGAAATCTAATCAACATCAATCTAAAAGGAAACACAGTACTGATTTTCCTCAGAGGGTCAATCTTTTAAGAAATGACACACATATAAGATAAAGGAAGCTCAATACATATGAAATGTAGGCAGGCACTCATGTTCCTGATAGGGCAGTGACATTTTTCTAGAACAAGGAACAATTTCTGAGAGGATACCCCAGCACTAGACCACCTGGTCTAGTGAGAGGTGTCCCTTCCTGCAGAAGGAGGTTTGGAACCAGGTGGGCTTGGAGGTCCTTTCCAGCCCAAACCATTCTGTGATTCTATGAAAGCAATGTAAAATAGTTCATCTTCATCTTCCACACTCTTTCTGAGAAGCCAATTTGACCTCTGGATGATGGAAATTCTATCACAGAAACAAAGGCTTCTCAGACTTCACAGAATCCACTCCCATGACTCTAGGATACAGTCAGTACAAACAGTTTTCCACATGAAACTGGTATTACAAGGCATGACAGATGAGACAACTTAAAGAAATTTTCACTCAAAAAGATTTTGAAAATGTCACCAAATAATTATAGATTGCAGTCTCAACATTTTTTACCTTCTTCACTTACCTCTTCTATCTCTGAGAAGTCATCTAAAAGTTTATCCAGGTTCACTACACTGGTTTTCTTCATAGTTTGTTCATCACTGTGATTCATTTATTTCTGGAATATATAATCAAATGATCACTAGATATAAAAAATAGATCTATAAATGAATATATTTCTCATTCACACCATGTAAATTCTTAGGCAAAAATGTAAGAGGAACAAAGAAGACTCTTTTTTAAAATTAAAACTATTTTTGTGTTGAAGCTAAAATTCAGGCTATTTAAGATCGTACATTTCTAGGAAATACAATGAATGTCAGAAAGCCTAAACAATATCTTCCAAAGTGGTTTAATTTGGAAATTTTCTGCAATTAAAAAGTTAGCCTGGACCTACTTCTATAGAGAGAATAATGCACCAGGCACATATTAAGGCAGCATCTCTTATCTGTGTAAATGCTCTAATACTTGACTACTGAGGTTTAAAGGCACTTACACATTTTCTTATAAACAAAAAGTGTTAAATCAGTAATAGGCACTGCAACACGTCATAAACCTTGCTGCAGAAGAAAAATACAATATTTTGATAGGCACCCATATAGTTCCAGATTTTTAACACAACCCCTAATTTTATAAATTCTACTTACAGAATCTTCAACATATATTTTCAAGATGGATCTGAAATACATGACATGAATGCTTCTAAAAATATTCAAACTATCTCTCAACATCAAGTTCCGTGAGACAAAAATTCCAATACCAGTAAACCATGTGATCCAAACAAAATCACAACTTCTATGTGGTAATGTGTGAACAGCTTTTTTACAAATAACAAAGGAATTGCAACCAGGGAGATGAACCAGAAGTTAAAATGTGTTCACTAGCCAGAAACTGAATGAGTTTCCAGACAGAAATACTGGCAGTACAGTTAGGCACAAACAGGTAAATGCACAACACTAAGCAAAAACCAAAATTACATAAATGAATAATTTTCTCAGTCATTCAATATTTACAAGCTTTTATGTATAAATTCTTGAACAAAGCAGTAAGATATTGGTTCTGTGTGTTTAATACTTTTTTGCTTGAGCCCACTCTTTCCTCAGTGAGACTAAGACTAAATCATAAGCCAAAGCTCAGTTTTTAAAATTAACAATTTTCAGAATATAGTAAACTTTGAAAAATTAATGCTTCTTAGCTAAATTAATGGGGGGTTTGTTATTTTTTAATTTATTAGTAATCTTAATGGCTTGTAACTTACTACAATGCAATGATTTGTTAAATTTGGGTTCAAAATAGTATTCAGGACACTCAAATTTTTAAAACAATTACATATCTTAATCTAAATGTACACTATGGGTGTCAATCCTTTGACTTTTCCAATCCTTATCATGGGCAGTGTCTTATATTTGTCAATCACCACTTTTTTCATTATACTTTTAAAACTGTGTTGCACTCTCCACATTTTGACAGAGGATAGAATTCAGAGAGCTGCTGTGTTTTGCTGTTTTGTTTGCTTCCTTATTCTATGGCATCACTTGTTTTCTCGGAAGACAGGATGTGCTCAGCACTTGGCAACAGTACCACTGGGTACAAAACTCCTGCTGAACTGGAACAGTAAATTAATTTTGTATTATTAATGTTGTATTTTTTCCAGCAGGAAAACTCATCACTGTTATTTTTGTGCATATTCCTATTACACGTTATGTCTTCCAAAGGCATTTTTGTTAAACCTCCCACTCCTGATTTGAATGACGATATTTATGCCACTGGGAGAAAAATTAAAGATTTAAAATGTGGGTTTGGCTGCTGTAAAAGTGACACCTTCCTTTAATGCCTCTTTGAGCCCCTTGTTATCCATGCTTTCCCAGTATCACTTTTACAACTACTGTAGCTGATGATCCTATTTTGAAAACTAAGTTTTCAATTTTTTGCTGCATATGGCAGTGAAACACATGTACAGAGAGAGAGAACGAGAGAGAGACATTAACTGAATGTAGGAATTATTCAGTAGCAGGCACGTCAGGCCTTCCTGTCCTTTCCTGTCCTTTGCCGACCCTCGCTTACGCCGCTGCCCCTCAGGCACTTGAGGGGAACCCGCGCAACCGCCAAGGCGGGAAACCCAATCCCGCCGGCGGAGCGTACCACTACCGGCCCTGAGGGGGGGCGGGCCCTGAGGGGGCGGCCCCCCCTCCCCCTCCCCCGTTGGTGGGCTCGGCCGACCCTCAGGTGCTCACAGCCTCCCCTCAGGCGCGATGAGAGTCCCTCCTAAGACTTGGATGTGTCCTCATTAGACAGGGACACCCGTTAATATATTTTATGGACCTAGGGTTTTATTGTTTTGTTTTGTTTCGTTTCGGAAACAGGCTGTATAATTCCATTCCTGGAGCCCGATCTGCATTTTAGTATGTACATTTTCACCCTTCTGGGAACGGAGTAGCCAAGATTCACAAATGCTTGTGGTTGAGCAAAACGACAAAATTCAGTGGGCCTACAAAAGTGTGAAGTGGTATGTCAGTTCCTGACGAAGGGAAGGGAAGGTGCGGGAAGGGAAGGGAAGGTGCGGGAAGGGAAGGTGCGGGAAGGGAAGGTGCGGGAAGGGAAGGTTTNCAGGGTCTTGGATGGTCTTGATATCCCCTGCAGTCCATGCTCACTTCTTGGCTTCACTCCTGCACTTGCACTGTGCTGGGTTGTGCTCCAGAAACTGAAACAACAATGTTTGTCCTGGAAAAGTGCTGTCCTATCTTATTCTTTCTTAGACTGTGTTAGAACTAACAATCCTTGGCTATTACCAACATTTCTGTCTGTTATTACCAGCTTTCTTGGCTCCACAGCCATCCAGCTATCCGTGTTTGAGATGTACATTGAGACATACACCCTTGTCGTCTGAGATCCTAGCGTATAAATGGACTTCATGTCCAAAATGCTAAATACTCCGTAGCTTTCTCAGATGACCTGGTTTTGTCTGTAATGGTGAGGGAAGATGTTAACATCTGGAATACTTTTTGGTACTGTCCCCAGGAGCAGAAACTGTGTGCTGTGCAAATCAGAAGATGTGGGTGCATGCAGGACCCTTTTTACCTGCAAACACCCAGAGAAATAACAACCTACCAGTCATGGTCACAAATGCTGTTTTGCAGGCTGCTCTTTCATCAAAGCAGCTGTGGATTTGTTGTGTCCACTGGGACACTGACTAGACAAATCAATGAAAATAATTTTCATGGGTAGAAGGTCTGCAGCTGAGATATGAGTGGGGAAAGGACACAGTGCCAAGTGTGTCATGGACAGATATTAATAGAGAAGGAGGTACCCAGGGAACTCAGTACATGCTACTCATGTTTTCTAGCTCACTTTCCCTGCACCACATACCAATTTTTAAAAAACCTGTTTCGCAGTTTCAGTTGTCCTTGTAAATTGCACAAAAGTTTCAGAAGTTTTTGTAGTTTCAAAAAATTATAATTAAAAATTTGTAATTGAAGTTAATAAAACTGTTGATCACAGCAATTAATTTTACTTTTAGATCTAGAAAAAAGTGCAGTCACTGTTGATTACTGTAGAGAGAAAAACCCACCAAAATCTTGAGTAGTGAGCATTTTACTGCACAGTAAACCACAATATATTGCACAGACTGTTTTTTGTGTTGCTTAGCTGTAGTTTTATTGTACGGATTACATTCATAGGAAGACAGGATGTGAAGACTGACATCTATTTCTTATGATTAGACAAAAATGTTACCCAGTGTCCACATATTATATATGTAATAATGCTATGCTAAATGACCCATATATAAATACGTCATTTGACCTCTGGGACTCACCTCATAGTGATTACTATGAACATACTGGGTGAAAATGCAGAAAATAAACATTGAGGGAAAAATGTTTAAGATTTTGACACAGGAAGACATGGAATGAAGTCTATAAGCCAGGGATAGAACATTTAGCCTGTAAAAGGTTTAACAGTCAGTAAATATTCTTTTGTTTCAGCTTTTAAAATATTGCTGCTAAATTAAGCAGTTTAACATTGCAAATCACATCTCCGAAAGATGAGATTTTTATCTGTATTTCATTTAGAGTTCATTCTAATCTTTTTGTCCTTTTATAGGGTAGTAACTTCTCATGCAAGACGGTTCAAGAGTCTGGTGGTCACTGAAAAAATGTTTGACATCCCCTGTATTAGGCAGGAAAGCAGCAGGTAGCTGATGATGCACACTGCAACCTACAGAGAGTTTATAACACAAAGGGAAAACACTGATGCCTTTTATTGCCATTGCAAGCATTCCTGTAAAATAAACTGCTGCACCAAAGACCTGTGATAAGACATTGTTTCATATTCTGTTTCTCACAAACAGCATCATCTCTGTACATTTAAAATCTCATGGTTAGGCATGGACTTGAGCAGAGTTTTAATGATCTTTCTGCCATTTTGATGGTCTTCAATAGCCCTCTGTACAACCCAAGCCATCTCAAATGGATGTGTCAGATTCCTTCACAGGGTTAAGCTTTGCAAGATTCAATGCAGTTTACAAAATTATTAGTTTTGTCTTTTTCTGAAGAACACATGGAAGGAAGAGCATACCTGCTCTGGACTGTCAGAACACTCATCCCAGTGTTTAGCAGAGTATCACATTGACTTTAGTGTCAGATTACAGTAGAGCTTAATAAGATGGGAGTATAATTTGTACCCTCATGCATCTTGGACATCAGTGTAGTGTTTGACTGTTTTTTAACATCATCCTTTTGGTGAAAGGGTATGTTCTTCTGGTTTAGGAGATGAAAGCTGTCAGGTGTAGAAACACCCATTTCTGTTGCATTCTCCAAAATGTTTATATTTGTCCAAAGAATGAAAGCAGAAATATACAGAAAATACATAAAAATACATGTTTATTTGTATTTGGCTTGCATGGCCAAGTTGTGGTAACAGGGGAAGAGTGGGGAGAGCTACCTGAGTGGCTTCTTTGAGATACTGCCAGAAGCTTTCCCCATGTCTGGCAGAGCCAGTGCCAGCTGGTTCCAAGACAGACTCAGTGCTGGCCAAGGCAAATCCCATCAGGGACAGTAGAACCACCTCTGTGATACTGTATTTAAAAAAGAGAAAAAGTTACTGTGCAGTTGTAATGGTGCTCAGAGAAGGGAGAAGTGAGAATATGTGAGAGGAACAGCTCTGCAGAAACCAAGGTTAGTGAGAAGGAGGGGCAGGAGGTGCTTCAGGCACTGGAGCAGAGATTCCCCTGCAGCCCATGCTGAGATCCTGGTGAGGCAGCTGTGCCCCTGCAGCCCATGCAGGTCAATGCCAGAGCAGATGGATGCCCAAAGGGAGGCTGTGACCCTGTGGGAAATCCATGCTGGAACACGCTTTTGTCATGCTGTGGCAGGTTTGCTAGTCGGATTAGTGACCCTGTGAGGGACCCACGCTGGAGCCAGCTGTTCTTGAAGGACTGCACCCCATGGGAAAAGACCCATGCTGGAGCAGTTCATGAAGAACTGCAGCTCATGAGAAGGACTGACACTGGAGAAGCTGATGGAGAGCTGTCTCCTCAGGAGGGACCCCACACAGAAGCCGGGGAAGGACTCTTCATCCTGAGCAGCAGCAGGAACCTGTGGTAAAGTGACTATAACCCCCATTCCTGTCTCCTTGCATGGCTGGTGGGAAGGAAGTAGGGCTGGGAATGGAGGGAGGTGTGGGTGGAAAGTATTTTTAAGATTTCTTTTATTTCTTGTTATCCAGCCCTGTTTCTGATTTGTAATAAAGTCAATCTATTTGCCCCAAGTCAAGTCTGTTTTGCCTGTGATTATTGATGAGTGACCTCCCTCTGTTTTTATTTCAACTCATTAACCCTTTTTTATACTTTTTTCTCCCCTGTCCAGCTGGAGAGGGGAGTGGTAGAGCAGCTTTGGTAGGTACCTGCCCATCAAGCCAGAGTCAACCCACCACATTATTAAAGTACGGTAATATAGTAGAACACATTTAAATATAGACACATTTAAATATAGAACACAAATAAATATAGAAATAAATATATATATATATATATATGTGAGTGTGTGTGTGTATGTGTGTATGAGCAAATATACCTGCTAAAACAGTATCTGTAGCCATTAAAATCACCTCAGGGAAAAAAGTTGTTCATGTTTGTTACCTAAATATTGGGGTGGGATTCTTAAGGTGAAAAAAAAAAAATTCACTTACTTTCAGCATGTGTTTTAGCTGTTATTCAGAAACAGAACAGAAATTTCTGTTCACAAAGTATTTTTTTCCTCTGTTCTTGTGTCTTTTGCTTGTCAAAGGATGACCTAATCTTTGGTTTATAGCTTCAGTAGTTGAAAAACAAAATTGTTTAGCATTTGTGATTATGGTATGTATCAAAATAAATGTTTAATTTTTTTGTAACAAGAGACTGGTAAAGAGTAAATTTCTAATGTTCCTCATACGAATCCCATACCTTGCAATTTTAATGTTCTGTGTTGCAGTATGAACTAAAAAAACGAACAAAACAGTAAACACTAGGTAAATGGATGGAAAATATCTCCTAAAATGTGTATCATTCAGTGAATCTTTGAAACCCCACACAATCTTCTGTGTGAGCTGTACTACATGCTCACTGTAAAATGGCTTTGTTTTTCCTTGAGAAACAACTTCCCAAGTGGAGCTAGTGGAAAACTAGCTCACCGTATCTTGCTGTCTGCAAGTCTTTGTCTGGAATAGCCTGCGTTCTTCTGCAGCGTAACTCATAATAAAATACTTAGCCATATGGAATTAAGGTAGCCTGTTCCACTGCTTTGTTGGGTAGACTGGTATGTACTGCTCACAAAATGGAAAAGCCCCTCTTATATCATTAGAGTCTGAGACCTCTGCAGTCATTTAGCTGGTAAAAACAATGCTTTTGTTTTAAAAGTTTCAAGCAGGAGGGAAAGCTTTAATTTCTAGCACAGCTTGTTTTTCTTTTTCTGACACAGATGTTTTTTTCATAGGTCACAGAATCATAGAATGGCCTGGGTTGGAAGGGGCCTTAAAGGTTGAGTAGTTCCAGCCCCCTGGTGTAGGCAGTGATGCTTTTTGCTGGGTCAGGTTACTCACAACTCCATCCATCCTGGCCCTAAAGACTTGCAGGGGTGGGACATCCACAGCTTCTCTGGATATGTATATATCTATGGCAGAACAGAAATCAAATACCTAAATAATTTAACTACATTAAAACAAAAGTTTAATCTACGTGACAGGGAACAGACTGTCTATCTATATTCAATTATTCTTGTGCCCTGAGTTCTTCAGTAGTCAAGTATTCTTCATTAGAGTGTATCAATGGCATCCCTTTGGAACCACTTCCAGAAAGAATGTAATTATGGAAAACCAGATTCTTGATTTGGCTGAAAATCTTGAAGTCATGAGTACAATTTTATTTTCAAAAGATTTTCAGTTTTCAAATTACTGTTTACTATTTATACTGCATGCATGTCAGCATTCCAATCATGTCAAAACTCTGTCCTGCAAGACATGGTGCAAGCTACAAAAACTCCCAGTCTTTTCTTGGAAGAATTTAACAGATATTCTATTAACTTTAAATAGGATATGACAAAGATGACTGATGAATCTAGTCATCAGAGATCAAGAATAATAGAGAAAGGAGAATGAACTTAAGAGAAGTAATTGTGTTGCTTCCTGGCTTTCTAAGTAATCTCACATGTATTCCTGTGGTTTCCCCTCAACATTGGACTTATCTTTCTGTTGAATGCTGATGGGTCAAACCATTATAATTTCAATTTTAAGCACAAATATAACAACTTTAAGCACAAATTATAACAATTATAATCTTACAATTTATTTATAATTCTGGATCTCTTGGATTTTTAAAATAATACTGAAATTTTGACCTAGTTTTCTTGTACACCTAAAAAAACCAGGGTGGTAGCAAATGTTTAAACCATGCAAACATCTGATAAGGAGCATATTATCTGAAATACATTTCTCTGAAGTCACAGAATATTCTGAGCTGGAGGGGACCCAGAAGGATCACCAACTCTAAAGTGAATGCCTGATACAGGGATAAAACCTACAATCTCAGTGTTTTTAGCACCATGCTCTAACAGTACACCATAGGATGTTTTGTTAGTGAATACATTTTCCAGTGATTATCAAATCTTGTCTTATTGATCCAATTGGAAGCTGTCCATTTAGATGATATTTTCTTTGTTTTACTTTTTTCTCCATTGGTTTTTACTCCTTCTCCTATGGATGTTAAACAGCTGCAGGCAGTCTTGTGAGAAAGGAATACTTGTGCCTTGTGGATAATTTACTACATCATTCCCTGTGGAATCAGGAAAACTTGTAAAGACACTTGTCTATTGTATTTCTATTTCTGACAGTGCTCAATTTCAGTGCCAAGCTGAAAGCATGCATTTTGCTTCCGAATAGTCATTTAATACCTTCCTCAATAAAGTAAATTCAGAAGGTTGTTGTAATTCATTGGTGATTGGTGAAAATCAGCTAATTCCAAGCCTGAGCCTTACTATTCAAGGAACGTACATTTAACTGGCTCAAAGAATTAGTTCCTGAAGGAGTTTTCCATTCAGAAGGGCAAGGTTGGTATTTCCTCTGTAACCTGAGACTGTAGCACTGTACATGCTACACAGATAGCTGCTGGGAAATAGATCTGAAAAGTTTTAGTATGAGGAAGTTAACTGACACTGCATTCTTGTTCTATAGTTTATGTCTTTCTAGTATAATATTGTAAAGGTTTCATATTCAAGGGAAATAATATATAAAAATATATAAAAAAGTAACAAAAGACAAATCAGTTTCCTGGCATGTCTAAGTCTCAGCTGTCTGTTATGGGAAGATTTCACTTCATTCAGTACAAGCTTAAAAGCAGTCCAGGGACAGTAGTGGAAGCATCATTTGTAGCATTGTGATGGGAAGCTATAGGAAGCTGTAAAGCAAGCATAAGCTCTTCAACTTTGCTCTTACTCCCACTTAGCCTTGTGCAGACTTTTATTTCATCCAGTGTTTAGAGGGGAGTTCACCTATTCTCTTACAAATTACCACACGATGCGTGATGATCTGCTTACTCAGACTAATTTCAGGAAGCTAATGTATCATTATTCAGCTGATTTTCATATATTAGTATAAAGAAGCTTATATTATGCAAGAGAAATACCAAATACTGTAGTGATAAAAATTAAACCTTTCAAACAGCATGCCAGTTTACTAGATGCATCGATTTTAGTAACTGCATCTGCTTACCATGTGACTGCTGGCAGCTGTTCTGCTATGCCCGTTTCTCTGACACCACTGGTAGTTTCTCTTCTGCTTCTGAATGTTTCCTACTCTAATAGCCCTAATTAGAGAAGATAAGGAAGCACTTGCTCAATACAGTTATGCCATAGTGTCTAAGTAGTATACTAATAACAGAAATGGATTTGGATTACATCTTGCTTCTGTGTGGCCTGAGGGCATGGTTTCCATGGCAGTTAAAGCACTGACTGTGTATGCAATTAATAGTGATTAGTCAGAGAGAAGAATTTGTACTGTTAAATTACATTTAGACAGAGTCAGTTCCATGAGAGAACTACATCCACTCGTACCTCCTCAAAGTCAATTGATGATAAAAGATAGTTAAATTCTTACCAATTTCACCATCTTGGTGAAATAGATATTCTGTGTTAAGCTGAAAAATTGCT